CCTACACGAATAGTGTTCCATGAGAGTCCCCTATCTTAATTTCCTCCAGTATACTTTTGCTCTGGACAGGAGAGCAATTTGAAATGCGCTCCTACTGAACAACAACAACCTACTTATCTCTGTCAAATCACAAGCCCTGACACAGTTTTAAGGACTAAAAGAGTCTTGTGGCACTTCAAAGTAATGGATTTATTGACTTATAACCATGACATAATTGTGATTTTATTTATTTACAAAATTTAGATCCCTTCTTTTTCCTCAGTCAGGGCCAGGCAGCTAACAATAAAAATGGCATAATTACTAGAAGTACTGCTGCTGCCACTGCATTTCTACACTGCCTTTCCCTGTAGTTCAAGCAGGCTTACAGTAATAGTTAACATTTTCAGTTAAAAACCAACAAACCACAAACTTTTCCCTTCCTCCCCCCCTTAAAAAACATAAATATAAAAGTTATAAAACAGAGGGTCACAAATTAAAACATAAGCCAGGAGGAGGGAACACCAGATGAAGCAAAAAAAGTCTTTGCTGGTGATTGTAGGAGACAAATGAATGTTTCTGGGGAAGTAGTTCCATAATGTTGATGTTGCAGCCAAGAAAGCCCTTTCTCAGGTTGCCTGCCTGTTGATAGTAAGAGCCCTCAGAATCCTGGAGATTCTGTGGGATTTACTGGCTTTCAGGCCTCAGTACCAGTTATTCTGTAAATATAGGCTGACATATGGTTGCCAACCTCCAGGTGGAGGGCTGGAGTTGTCTCCAGACTACAGATTAGTTCCCCTGGAGAAAATGGCAGCTTTAGAGGGTGAACACTGGTATTACATCTCTGCTGTGGTCCCTCACCTCTTCAAACTCCCTTTTCCTCAAGCTCCACTCCCAAATCTCCAGAAATTTCCAGACCCAGAGCTGGCAATCCTAAACCTTACTGTTTGGAACAGTAAAATTCTTCCAGATTTGCTTGGCTACACTAATGGCCCATTCTGAACTTTTGAAAAAAGAAAGCAAAAGGGAGGAGGGTGAGAATCTAATAGGTCATGAGGCGTTGTTTCACTGTTTCTGAACCAACAGGAGATCTTAAAGCATGATTGTGCAGGGCCCCAATGTGTTTTGGAGGAAGAGAGATTTTGTGTGTGTGTGTAGATCTGTGCTCCGCAATAGGAAATGCTTTATTAGCTGGGAGTGGTGGAGAAAAGCCAGGCAGGAAGAGGCAGTAATAAGAAACATTTTTAACTTCTGCTGCATTCACAGCTTGCCAAACCACTGCTTTCGGGTGAGAGGAAAAGAGCAGAGGGGGGCTGGAAAGAGGATCCCCCCCCCTTTCAATTCAGTGGCCTCTCTGACAGACTTCACTAGAGTTGAGTTTCCGACAAAAAAATATGAGAGGACACTGTTCCCATTAAGCTGGAAAACTGAGGAAAGTTTTGCAGTGTAGTCACAAAGGAGACCCATGAATCCATTTCAGGCTGGTCTTCTGTGTGCTGTGAGGAGCTGCCCCATTCAATCTATAAACAGATCTCTCTGAAAAACGCTTCAAACTTTAGTACTGAAGAGAATTTCCCATCTAGGGAAGTGTTACCCAAGGCCTGCTGAAAGCAGGAAGACATTCGATACAGGACGTGGCCAAGCTGTGCCCTATTCCACCTACGAAGTCTCCTGGGTAAGTAGGAATCAGTGTTTCTTTCCTTCGACCTTTCTTGCTGGGGTGGAGGGAATGAGAACGGGGAATCTCTCATGCAAACTGGAAAAAATATTTTGAATTCCTGGAGGAAAGCATGAAATCTTCAGCCAACAGCCCTTTATAGCAATAAAGGAGAAAATTCCTAGGTACTAGCATCAAATTCTTATCAATTAGCATCTTGGATTTTTTTCCAGGCCTGCTACCTGAGCACCCTTCACAGACACTTGATTATCTCCTGCTGAGGCCAGCTAGCCATTTCTTTCACAGTCTAAGCTCAGCGGGGAATTTCAGTGAAAGGTTTGGACAAAACATTCCAAAGACGCTGGTAGGAAGCAAAATACGTTCTCCAAGAAAAATGTGGAGTTTCTGTATTAAGAATATTTCTAAGCCACCTCTTCAGAGTCCTGTTCAAACTTAAAAAACCACAGTATACTATTTTTAAAAAGCCATTAAAAACAAGCTATGGGGAAACAAGGCAATTATTTCCCATTATGGGAAATTTTAATACTTTTAAAAATTACCAGGATTGGTTTCAATAAATGATTCCCCAGTGGTGGGTCATGGGGTCCTACAGATGGGTTGGCAGACCTCTAGCAATGAAAGCTCAGCGCTGTACAGCTGAAGGACATTACTATGCAGTGTTAACTACTCTGCCTGCTGCTGAGATTTAGGCATGTCTGCAGCAAACTGATGTTTTACGGACATGCCTATCAAGCCTAGCCACAGACCAAGTGCTTTACCACAGAGCCAGGGACCTTCCCCACAACCCACATCCCCTGTGCTCCTCAGTGCATTTCCAAGGACGTGTAAATTGGTCCTAAAACTCAGATGGTAACTATTCTTTTCTGTATTAATAAAAAAAATATATGTTTCCTATCCCTGTACATTGCAGAGAGGAGAGAATTTTCATATGTGATCAAGGCTTTTCAGCTACAGAAATCATAACTGCCCAAAGAAGTTATTAGGCTGATACAGAAGGAGTACTCTGCAGGAGACAGTAGAGAAGGTTGTGTGTTGCATAGTCATTTCCTTTTCTTTCTTCAGGGAATCTTTACTAGGTGTCTTAAAGTATTTGCCTAAACAGCCGTATGTGAGGTATGTATGCATTGCCTAGGCCAAAATGAAACGGGCTGGGAATCCTACTCTCTGCTGAACATCTGTAGAATGGCAAGAGGTAGGGATGATGTGTGGCAGGAAAGTAGTGAATAAAAGAGAGATGTTCACACTTTCCCCCATCACCCTCCCCCCCCACGCCCCCTGCCATCACCTCTAACTCCCTTCAGGCAGCTTCATCCAAGCATGGATTCTGGATTCATGATCACTGTGCTGCAGTTAAAAAACAGGGCATGGGGAGGCTAAAGTACTCCACCACCATCTTCTCCACTTCAGATCACATCTTCCCTTTGCCCCACTGAGAATCTGCCAAATGTGTAGGTGCAGCAGTAAGAAAAAGTAGGGACTTAGGATCTAGCAGGTGGAACTCTGCGACTAACCTGAGACAAGATGTCTGTCAAGGAGACTTGACTGCAGTTACTGCTCTTCTCACCAAGGAAACCCTGGTAAGCTTCTGAGGAACCCCAAGATTTCCCAGGCACAGTTTGAAAACCACTGGGGTCCAAAAACAAAAGCCTTGTAATACCCTAATCAAAATAACACAGAGTACAAGATTTTTACTTCCCTAGAAAATGTCATCAGGCCAGTTGTTTTAAAAACAAAAAGGAGAAAGATCTCTCAGACCATGAATTTAAGCGCTTGTCATCAGCATCTTGTAGTGTATATAATGCTTTGCTGACTTCAATGGGTGCAGGATGTGGCTGGTATCCTGTTGCACACTTGGCATGCTGGGAACACAAAGGGAAAAAATGCAAATAATCCAGTTGCAAATAACCAGATGTTGATCACAGAAATAACTCTCTGATGCTGAATGGCATGCAAGTCCTTTTAAAGGCCAAGAACGATGCAGGTTTGTCCATACCATGAAACAGTCAAGAGTGCTGCTGTTCATGAAAGTCATGTTCACACACACACACATACACACAGAGAGAAGACATCTTATAGCACAACTCTCAAGAGTCTTTGAACTAATATTATTAAGTTATCTGTTTGCATCCAAAAATTAAAGCTTTAGACCAGTGGAAAAATTAGGATACTTACAGCACAATTCTAAGTGCTTCTACTCAGAAGTAAATCAATTATGTTCAGTGGTGCTTACCCACAAGTAAGAGTGCATAAATTGGGGCCTTAGTCCATTATTTTTCCTGTTTATTGTCAGATTATAAATCTATCTAGTTCAGAACTCTAAACAGAGTATGTACTAGTCTAAAAAAATGTGTTTCTCATTCTTGTAACTGTGGAGACATAAGAGGAAAAGGTTAAAACCCTTCATCAGGGCAAAACGACATGTGATTTTTTTTTTTGACAAGTTGGGTACTCCACGTACAGCTCCAAAGATGAACAAATTTTGCTCCCTCCCCTTGGCCATTTTGGCTCAGGAAAATGGTGTGGTGAGGGAGGGAAGGCAGGAGTCCCTCCTCCCTTCATGCCATCGTTCCGAGCCCAGTCAGGCTCCTGAAGAATTAAAAAAAAAATGTGGAGAAAGCAACTTCCCAGACCCAGCTCATCAAAAGACATAATATATAGTTGGGTCCTCAGTGCTGCAACTTTGGGTATGGTCAGATGGGCAGGTTGCTGTGACAATATATAGACTCTAAATAAGCCACTTGAGTTTGGGACGCTTTGCATTTATCACACAGTGGCCAGTAAGCCGGCATCATAGTGCTGTGGGCCTGTGGTCAGTCATTCACATCGGCAACATGCCGCAACCACAGATCCACAGCTGAATGGATTTTTTTTCTAAGTCCCGCTGTGCATGCGCAGAAGCAGACAAGGGCAGACGTGCTCCTGTGAGGAAGTTCAGTTAGCCCCCACATAGTTCCAAGAACTCCTTCACCCTGACACGTCCACACAGCCCCTCTAGATATTGCCCTACTGTCCAGGGTGGCCAATTGTAGTCCCCTCAACATTTAGCGGGGCAGTCCGTGGCCAGGGAATCAGATACGTGTTCTGCAGCTCTCCCGCTTGGCATTAGAGTTAGCCTGCAGCATTTCTAGGTTCCCCTGTCCCTGCTTCCACACCCAAACACCAGGCTTTGCATGTGCGTGAGTGCGCTTCCATGCAGGAGCACCACAGGCAGCCGATGGGGGTGCTGAAGCACACCTCCGAGTGGGGTTGGAGAAAAAAAAACAAAGGGACGTGCCAGCAACGGAGAGGAACCATGCATTTTCATGGCGCATCCAGGCGATCAGATGCCATTTCCATTCATTTGTATTGCTCATAGACCCGTAAGTCATAAGCAAATAGGATATAATACAAAATACAACATATATACATACAGTACATTACAATTACAGTTACAATTTCATAAAATTAAACAATTTGGTAACAAATATATATTAACTGCCTAAAAGAGTCAATTCATTTAATACCACCCAGGGTTACAGATAAAAATTCTGCCACTGCCAACGTCACATTTGGATCAGTATCAGCTAAGAGATTAGCTACAAGTGGCATTCAGATGCCCAGAAATGCGCCATGAAAGTGTCTCACTGAGGTAGCCACAGGAATTTGTTGGTGGCTATTAAATCTATGTGGTAGTTGTTATAGCGCGAGGTAGGGACGACTGGGGCACGGGAGCCAGATGAGTGCATTTGATAGTGCCCATTTGATGGGGAGGGGTGGCTATGTCAGGCCAAACTGCTTGTGTGATCGCATGATGGAATTCAAGCCCCCCTGCCCTTGCCTCCAATTGAAAGGCATTAAAAAAAATCAGGAAATCGGTGGATCTCCCACACAATGTGTTGTTTGTTCTTAAGTTACAGATGAGCTCTTAACTGCCCAAGAAACCACTCCACCTGTCACTAGGGCCAGGTTCATTATTAGGTTTCTGTAGAAGGCTGACCAGTTGGGCGTTGTGCAAGGAGCTGCATGTTTTTGCAAAATTAAGGTACACTGTGGAGGTGATCTAAAAGGATATAGTGAGTTTCATAAGACTTTCGATGTTCTCCACATTGAATTCTTCCACAGTATTTGTGACTAGTTATTTGAATAGCTGTGTGCAGTGTGTGTACATATTAATTTTTTCAATAGGATCTCAACATTCTAAAATGTGTTTATTAATCTGTGTGCAGCCCAAGAACCATTCCTGGCCTGATTGCCATCCTTGCCAACCAAGATTAACAAAGGCACAGTTATATAATTCGGCCATGCATTAATGGTGATTAACATTTTGTTACTATATCCTTGCCAACCAAGATTAACAAAGGCAAAGTTATATAATTCGGCCATTCATTTTAATGGTGATTAACATTTTGTTACTATTGAGCTCTTAACTGCCCAAGAAACCACTCCACCTGTCACTAGGGCCAGGTTCATTATTAGGTTTCTGTAGAAGGCTGACCAGTTGGGTGTTGTGCAAGGAGCTGCATGTTTTTGCAAAATTAAGGTACACTGTGGAGGTGATCTAAAAGGATATAGTGAGTTTCATAAGACTTTCGATGTTCTCCACATTGAATTCTTCCACAGTATTTGTGACTAGTTATTTGAATAGCTGTGTGCAGTGTGTGTACATATTAATTTTTTCAATAGGATCTCAACATTCTAAAATGTGTTTATTAATCTGTGTGCAGCCCAAAAAACATTCCTGGCCTGATTGCCATCCTTGCCAACCAAGATTAACAAAGGCACAGTTATATAATTCGGCCATGCATTAATGGTGATTAACATTTTGTTACTATATCGTCATTGTTTACATACAGAGCCAGTATGGTGTAATGGTTAGGAGCACAGACTGTAATCTGGGAGAACCGTGTTTGATTCCCCACCCCTCCACCTTGGATCAGTTACAAGTTCTTTCAGAGCTGTTCTCTCATGGGCAGTTCTCAAAAGAGCTCTCTCAGCCCCACCTACCTCACAGGGTGTGT